GATATCGCCCATGAAGAAAGCAAAAGGTCACTACAAAGTCAGAGAAGAAAGAAAGAGAGAGAGGGAGGGAGGGAGGAAGGGAGGAAGGAAGGAAGGAAGGAAGGAAAGAAAAGAAAGAATCAAAATGGATTTAGAAAACCAAAAAGGAAGGATATGCTAGACCTACATCATGCTGAAAGAACTGAAGAACACATTCAAACCTCATATTGAAACACTGAAGGATTCTGTGGGCAAAATTGTGCATGGTGCAGGAAGCATCAAAACAAGATGGAAGGAATTCATAGAGTCACTATACCAATAAGAATTAATTGACATTACCAAAAAAAAAAATCCAAAAAAAACCAGAACACCCCAAACAAAACTCCAACATTTCAGAAAGTAACATATTTTAAAAATAAATAAAAAAATAGTACCACAGGAAGAAGTCCAAGCTGCACTGACAGCACTGGCAAAAAATAAGGCCCCAGGAATTGATGGGATACCACACAATGTGTTTCAGCAACCACATGCAGCCCTGGAAGTGCTTGCCAGTTTCTGCCAACGAGTATGGAAGTCAACTATCTGGCCAACTGCCTGGAAGGCATCCATATTTATTCCCCTTACAAAAACATCCATCAGACTGGAAATTATGGAATAATACCATTAATATCACATGCAAGTAAAATCTTGCTGAAGATTATTCAAAAATTCCATTGCAGGGAACTGGCAAAAGTTCAAGCTGGATTCAGGAAAGGCTGAGGAACTAGAGATATCATTGCTGATGTCAAATAAATCTTGGCTGGAAGCAGAGAGTACCAAAAAGATGTTTATTGTATTGATTATGCAAAGGCATTGGATTGGGTAAATAATAACAAATTATGACTAAAATGAAGAAGAATGAAAATCCCAGAACACTTAATTATACTTATGTGAAACCTATACATGGACAAAGAAGGAGTTATACAAACAGAACAAGAGAATATTGCATGATTTAAAATCAGGAAATGTGTGCATCAGGGTTGTATTCTTTCTCCATACCTATTCAGTCTATATTGCACTGGGAAAGTCTGCAGTTAGGGAACTCTCCAAATTATTGAGGAGTAATGATGTCAGTTTGAGGACTAAGGTACCTCTGACTCAGGCCATGGTCTTTCCAATCATTTGCTCTACATCTGAGAGGTGGACAGTGATATAAGGATGATGGAAGAATTGCTGCTTTTGAGCTGTAGTGTTGGAGAAGAGTACTGAACCTCCCATGGACTGCCAGAAGAACAAACAAACAAATATGTCTTGAAGAGGGTGCAGCTGGAGTGCTCTTTGGAGGCACAGATGATGAGGCTTTGCCTCACATACTTTGGGCATATTGCCAGGAGGAGCTGTTGCTGAGAAAGGAACATGATGCTTGGAGAGGTAAAAGGTTGTCAAAGGAGAAGAAGACCCTCGACCAGGTGGATTGACACTATGACTGCTGCAGTGGGCTCTAATGTGTCAGGAAGTATGAGAATGGCACAGAACAGAACAGGTTTCAGAGCTGTTGTTCATAGGGTCACTATTTATCATACTCAACAGCACCTAACAACCACAACAGCAATTCAATCTGTATACCAAGCAAATCATTTGAGAAGCTGAACTATATGAAGAAGAATGTGGCATCAG